GCACGGTGTTTCGTGAAAACCCATTAATGGGTAAAAAAATACCCATTTTCAAACCATGTATGCAGCTGTCAAAAAATGGGGGAATTTTGAAATCCTAAAATGGGTGAAAAAATACCCATTTAAAGAATAAGTTCACGGTTGAATAATGGGTATATTTTTTACCCATTAATGGGTGAAAAAACACTTCGAAATTTTATTGTCTCATTTCCGTCACCGGCTCATTGGGAATGCAAACCTCGATGCAAACAGTTACTGTCCGCAGCAACGATCTCCGGAAAATGTTAGAATCCAAAACGTTGGAGAGGCTTACGGATAAGTCAATACAATGGATAATTTGTATTATAATGTTTCGTGAAAAATTTGAGCGGAACACCTGCATTTATTGTCAATGTTTTAAAAACATTTTTACATCAACGAGCGCTTGCATCCTCCATTTGTAAAAATGGGTATTTTTTCACCCATTTTACGGTAAACACAATATAAGAAAATGGGTGAAAAAACACCCATTTATTGACAGACCACCCATTTACCCATTTATGAGTAAACCATAGTTTACCCATTAAATGAGGAGGGGCACTTTTAGCGGAAATGGGTATTTTTATACCCATTAATGGGTTTTCGCGAAACACCGTGTGGGACTGCTTGGGACCGTTGTTCTGGTACTGAGTGAGCCAAAAATAATAATGATTTTCTTCGGGACCCAGTGGTCTTAGAGTTACCTCTATGGTACCACCACCTGTGGCGCGCATAGTCAATTCCCTTGCGTTTGACGTTTACACACTACCACCATCTGTTCAGCGTAGTGCCCACCACAGTGTACTCAACAGATGGCGGTAATGTTTTAGCGACGATGTTTTACAGTGAGAAATATTCAATGTATTATGTCTGTTTGTCTGTGGTTAATTCTTCGAATAGAACGTGTTCAGAAAAGCGTATTTATAGCGAAACTTTTTAATGGCGATGTGGACTGTCCTCAATTGCTTTCTCAGTTAAACTTCCCTGTTCCTCAAAGGATGTTGCACAAGGTTTCATCGGACTGCATATGGCCAATGTCTGCGGTGATTCGGACATTCTCCGCTGTGGAATCAGCATTTGAATTCGGTGAATTATCGAAACAATTTCGAAACCGATTGAGAAGATTGTGATTATTTGTGATACACAGATCTGTAGCTTTTTAATATATTACCTAAGTTTTATTCATTAACACAAACTACTGTCAGATTAATTACAAAAAAATAAATAAACTATTCTAAATTTTTTAAGAATTGCTAAAGACAAAAAAATGCCACGGTATTTCAATGGAGTTTCTTGCAATTAAACAAAGTTTATTTAACTTAATGGAAGTTTCCCAAACTTGTACTTGTTCCTAACCTTTACGAACATTTTCAAAAAAAAATCGAAGCTCTACGAATTTATAGATTCAAAGCATTTTTACGATTTCACTTATGTTGGGGCAACGGAAACCGAAGCGCTGGGAATACTGCCTGTCAACCATAACGTTCCATCGCTTTCCTGTTGGGCTCATCGTCATACGAAAGAAGTCATCTCCATCTTAACTGTATACCGTTCTAAACATATGTTGTCCATTTTGTTGTGATTATTGTTGTGCACACCTTTTACCATCGATAGTCGCGTTAATTAATCATTTTGTCAAGCTTCTGCATTCATTTTCCATCAGATGTCACTGCTGTTGCTGGCGGTGACATCTATCGGAAACTACACTTAATCTGTTTCCGTTAATTGTTCACAGAGAACAGCCCAACAAACAATTTTAGCTGCAGATTAGCTTAAACAGTCAAAATTTGCCTTATGCAGCTAATTTTTGCCTGTATAAGCTAAGCTGCAGCTAAAATTGTTTGTTGGGAGTGCAGTGCAAAACATGTCTGGTACTTTTATACATGCATTTAGATTAATATTCGAAGTCCCTCCTTTTTTACACATTCTGAACACAAAATAGCTCACCCCTCACATAATTTTTGCGAGAGTTATGTCTGTTTGTCTGAGGCCGGACGATATAATTAATTAAATGTATAGTTTTATTCGCTTACGAGCGCGTTTTAGTTTATTTCCATAGTGATTACTTATCACGGCCACCTCCGAACAACGCATCGTAACAACTTAAACATCTCAAAAGTCACTAAAGGTCAAAGAAACTCAATGAGGGTTTAGAAAAATTCCAAATCTTTGACACGCCTGGCAAATTTCTACAAATTTCTGTAAATGTCTATAAAGTTCTATTAAATAATTTGCATTTCTGTGAAGTTCATTGGATTTCTATGAAACTCACTGAGCTTTTACACTAATGTTACACACTTAGATTTTTTGCCGAGATGGACTCCACCGAGCAGCTCAGCATTTTATGTTGCATGATCTCAGTGAAAAACTTGCCGAAATTCAGCAAAATTTATGTTTTTTAGTTGAGATCCCGGCAATATTTCTATTTGTTAGCTGAATCTCGGCAAGTTTTTCACTGAGATCCTGCAACATAAAATGCCAAGCTGCTCGGTGGTGCCCATTTCGGTATAAAATCTAAGTGTGTAAATTTTTATAAAATTTGCTGCACTTCTAGAAAATCTCCAGAAACTTTTATGTAGTTCATGGCGTTCTAAAAAATTCTCTAAGGACCAATGATTTTTTTGAAGATGTATGAGGTTTCTTGAAGTTGTAACTTTAAAAAAGTTTTCCAATAATCCAACAATCTACGAACTTCCCTGAAATCAGTGTCTTAAGTCATATTTTCTACGAATTTGATTGATATCCAAGAAGGTCCCTAAACTTCTATAAAAGCTTAGTTTATTTTAGTATTTCCTGTTTCGTGATATAACATTTGTCTTACCTTAGCCCAATTAAAATCTTTCTCTCTTTCCTTTAATTACGAGCCGCATCCGTTTTTGAAAATCGTTACTGCTGGCACGATATCTTGAGGTATTTCGTCCCATCCCAACAAACATTGACAGTTGAATAAGAGCTTATTCAGGCAAAATTATGCTTCTTCAGCTAAAAAATAGCTTATTCAGCTTTTAATCAGCTCAAATTGTTTGTTGGGATATTTTCACCAAACGTTGCTTAAAAGTTTCCACGGTTAGTCCCTTGGTATTCTCCAGTTCGCCTAATATTCAGCCCCATGCAAAGAAGTCGAGAGGATTCAAATCGGGTGAGGAGGCAGGCCACCCTTTCGACGAAATAAAATCCGAGAAATTAGCCTCATACAACTTGTGTAACTTTTGCCCGATGGGACGGTGCAGTCATAGAGGTAACTCTAAGACCAGAAGGTCCCGAAATAACGTGCTCAACTTTTTGGCTCAGCTCTGGTACTCTCTTCGGTCCCAAGCTAATCGATTCACCCCTCGAAACATAGGAAAAACCAATAACCCCTCATTTTATCTGTCAAACTTTCATAGCGAATCAAAACAAACATTGCGTAGTACTAGAATTTCGACTAGAATGGGGTACGTTAATCGTTTGCTTGGGACCAATAGGCTAGTCAAGTAGTGAGCCAATTTAAAATCGTTAGTTTCGTATTGATTGTTGGTGCAGTCTTGTTGGAAGCAGTATAGTGCATTCTTATAATGTTTTTGGACGAAGGGAAGCAAGTGGTTCTTCAAAACATTATCGATGTAATATTTGCTGTTGAGTTTAACACCAGGTTCAATGAACAGCAATGGAACTTTCAATGTTGTGGAGAAACATCCCCAAACCATCACCCTGGAAACATTCTGGAACCTTTGAACAGCCAGTTTGTCACGAGGAATATCAGCAAGATATGCAGCATATACCAGATCATTTTGCTGGTTGTGGTGATCGTGTAGCAAGAACATTTTCTCATCTGAAAACAGAATTTCGCAATCACCGTGCCGTTTGAGCAGTTTCCGACATCTTCCGACTCTAGCTATCTTTTGCTTTCCGGTCAAACCATGTTTTTTGTGAGCATTCAATCCAAGATCATCTTTCAAAATACTCCTGATCGTTGGCTGCGACATTCCGAGTTCTTTGGCCATCTTACGCCCAGACAAACAAGGATTCCGCCGAATTTGCTCTCTCACTCGTTTGATAACTTCCGGTGATTTTCCACTAACCGGTTTCCTTATACCGTTTAATGGTGCGAAAGACGAATCTTTCGTTTATTCCGAGTGGTTTCAGCGTCTTCAAAATAGAACACGGTCTATGATGCTTCAAAAACAGGCTTATCACGAGTTCCCTTTTCGCGTCCATGATTATCACGAGTATCAAACGAATGAAAATTCAAAACAAACTTGCATGCCGTGTTGACAGTTGAACACACTCTAAAAGAAAAATATGCAGACATGTATGTGATTAACCCATTTGATACTACAATTGCTTAAAAAACAATGACAGGAATTACCTTTCACCCTGTAAATCGGTGGTAGGAAATCACGCCAAAGTACTCTAATCCTCTAAAGATCCTTTAAGTGGCTTCTGGTTGTACAGATCTCCCCAGTTTTTACATTTTTTTTTCTAAATTACCCTTATAGCCATCCCTAGAAGCTTTCAATTCTGAACTTCCCTCACATGTTTTTTAACTTGAACATTATTTGAATATCATTTAAAAATTCATAAATATGTCACTTCTTTCACAAGAATTCTTGTAAATTTTTCCTGGGTGTTTTCAAATTCCATACAAACTTTGAAGTTCTCCCGCAACTCCAAATCACAACCAATTTTTTTTTTTCAAATGTGGCACACTTTGATGACTTTAATATAAACCGAACGAACAGTGAGGGAAGTGGAGTAGTAAAGCTGACCCATCACTGATATCTACTCTTTCATTTAAGCTGGGTTTAGACTAGGCAAGTCAAATGATCAACTCAGTTGAATTCAATTGGCTTGAAAAGTTAAGCCTGGTTCAACTTTTTTCAAGTCAGTTGAATGGCATGACGTTTTGTTGAACGTTGAATTCAACTGACTTGATCAATTGACTTGCCCTGTCTAAACCCTGCTTTACATTTCTTTTCATGTTCCAAAAACAAAACTCCACCCTGTCGTCTCTGCTACAAGGATGCAAACTATTTCTTTATTATCAACATTCACATTTTGTATTCTGTTTATATTCCGGCTAAATTTCATCTACATTGAATATAAAATGGCAGCACAGCATTAAAACTAAACAAAAAAGTACTAATTAGCTCTTAAAACAAAAATCAATAAAATAACCTCTTTTCCGCACCGAAGGAGGTTCGCTACAGAACCTTCGCTACCGGTGGAGGCATAATTATCCTGATGCGTCCACCACCAGCAGTTCGGTCGTAGTGGAAAAATGGGCTCCTATATGGGCGAGTTATGGCGGGAAAGAATTCATGCTTGTTTGTCATTTAGTCATTAAATGTTGTCATGTTGCTTGTTGCTTTCCTAAACGGAACACTCGACCGGAAAGTCGGGATGCGTCTTCCGAAAGTGCTCACATTTTGGCGTCACGAACGTCCGTACGCTATCGTACGCCGCCGGTCCCAGTTGATTATGATGATGCTGATGATTTTGATGCTGCTGTTGCTGATGATGATTGGCTGGACCGGTGGCACGCTTCCGATTGTGCCTCAATCCAACCGTGTATTTGGTATCGAACTCCAGACTCGAAAATTCGTAGGAAGTTTTCTGCTGGAATGAAATCAGATTCGGTTAGATGGAATTCAAAAGCTACACTCAACTTTCCCTTGTTCGATATTCTGGAGAGTTGACAGCCCAAAAATCATAGACTCGAGTTTAAGCTTACCTTTACAACTACATCGTGGGAATTGGCTCCCATCGGTTTCGATAGGCAATCCCTCGTGCCACGGCACAAATGTAATCGATAGCGTCCGCTGGGACTTCTATCGGGCCACGTGAGCCTCACGGTGAACCCCGTTTTGCGCGGAACGAACTTGTAGTTCAAGCCCAGGGTGCTCCCTCCGGATTTTGTGCGACGATGATAGCTGCAAATATATGCCTTTTAAGTCCAAAATTCCCTCTTTCAAATGTTTCTGTAGAATACCTGGCATCATTCATCAACATATTGTCCATACTGGGTTGCTTGATAGCGCCTCCGGCTTCCACCGTAGTGTCCATGAGTTCGCTACTGGCAGCAGACTTCAGTCGCCTCTTGCCGTACACACTTACCGCATGTATCTGCAGATAGTAAATACTGTTCGGTTGCAGTCCTTTGATCTCGTAGTGTCTCGTGGGCTGCAATGAAGAAACCAATCATTCATAATTCTCGGAAATTATCAGTGAAGTCCCGTACCGCCGATACGGTAGCCATTTCCTTGAAGAGTGACGAGTTTGCTGCCCGTGCTCCACTACTTGCATTCAAGTACAAACTCCAGCTGATTTTATACTTTTCCACCGGAAGATCCGACCGAGGAAGCATCCACATGATTTTCCGACTGTACGTCCCATTTACGTTCGGTACCAATGGTCCCAAGGTGAGATTCTTCGGTGGTTGAGGTGGATTCGGTTCTGTCAAAGGAAACAAACTGCGTTATCTATCTACACTCCACAATCTACCCATAAATCTACCATACTTTTACTCAACTGAAACTCCTTGGAAACGACCGAATAGCCCCGGGTACCCAGCTCATTAACCGCCGCCACCCGAACCTGATACCAGCGTCCCGGTTTGAGCTTCATATCCCCGACGTACCTCTTGAGGCTTCCGGTTCGTTTGACCTCATAGATCCCAACCGGCGTGTGGCTCTGCCAATCGTTCTCCAGCTTCCGCTCGGCAAAGTTGATCCCGATATGGTGCCGGGATTCCACCACAAAGTAGATCGCACTAGATTCTTCCTCCTCCAGCGATATGTCCCAGTGGATTTCGGCCATGCGGAAGCTACGGCCGGCTTCGCGGAGACTGACGTGGAACGGAACCGGCGGTAGACCACGGACCTTGCTCAAGCCGACCGGGCTCTGGCAGCTCATACCGCACGAATGGGCACAGCATTTTTCCACCCCCGGGCAGTTGTAGTCCGTACTCCGGCAAGTGTTGAAGCAAATCGCTTCCAACCGGTTCAGCGGATCCTTCGGGCAGTCGCCGTACTTTTTGTAGGACGAGTTTTCCAAATAGTCCCGGATGCAGGTGCTTTCGCACTGTGGAGAACGGAGAGACTTTTTGTTATTTGGGGGAAGTGGCTTATGACTTGTTTAGATTACAGAGTTATAACATGTTATAATAATAACTCTCCAGTCTGAACAAAGCATAAAGGGAATTATAGAACGAATAACCGAGGCAGTTTGACGGGTCTTAAGCAAATGAATACGAATTATAAATCAGTTAAATTTGAGATAAGGTTGGAAATACACTTTGAGCGATGACTATGTTTCCACCTCGTTTGTCAGGTCAGATAAGCAAATAACGTTCGATAGAATTATTTACATAATCGTTTTGGATTGTTTGCGTTATGGGGCTGAACCAATACCATACAGTATGCATTTAAAAAAATATGAAAATTATTCTACAGAGAGCATTACGTATTTCAACTGAGCTCCGTTCGCTCCTCGTATCAATGTTCATCCTGTAATCGAGAGGAGCATCTTCTGATTACAAAACACCCCTGTCATCCGGTTGCAGCTATCATTCGAGAAAAAAGTCATTTCAATGTTTCGATTTGAATGGCCTGAGGTTTCCAGTCAAAAAATCCTATGGTTTTGACAGTTCGGATCACTGCACATTTAAATCAGCCGTTTACAATTTTCGGGCATAAATCAGAATGCATGTCGCTGCATGCATGCTGTGCATGTCGGTTTGTTGGTGGTCTAATACCCCGTACGGACTATGGCAATAGAGCTGATATACTATAGAGGAAGTATAGCGCTGGTGATCCCTGTGTTCCTAAGTTGAATAATACCGGGTACAGAACTGTCAAACTGCATAGTTTTTTCTCGCTTTGACAGTTGTGTCCATATTGAATGTAAGGAAATGATGTTTCGACAGCGATGGCAGCGCTATTCTTTCTCTATAGTTTATTAGCTCTATTACTATGGCTTATATCATGTAATATCAAGAGCCACATGTGAAAAAGGCATACAAGCTTTTTGTAAACAAACCTTTGTATGCTCTTTTCTCGCCAACCGAGGGTCACCCACGCAAACCAACAACATCATCGGAAAGGGGAAAGCTTCCCCTACCCGCTAATGTTAATGGTTTGCGTTGATGTCATATGAGTGGCGAGAAAAGGGCATAAGAAGGTTTGTTTACAAAAAGCTTGTATGCCCTTTTCACATGTTGTTCTTGATATAGGCTATTTGCAATGAGCACTCATACATCTAGTTTTCACTGGAAATCCTACACAGATAAAAATTCTGAATTTTAATTGTGATGTAAACATTCATTCACGTAAACTTAAATTTAATTTCACACAACCGAGCAACTTGTAAACAATATTGTTTACAAAGATGGGCTTTTGTATACAATATTTGCTACATTGCATGAATTGTGCTAGAACTTTACATGATATATAATGTAAACTTATATGAAATATGACGCTCCATTTGTGTGCATCATATTGAACAGAAATTTACACTACTTTTCGAACTGTGTATGTATGAGTGCTCATTGCAAGAACTGGATATATATAAGACTGTGTTCAATTTGGGGAATTTCACTTAAATTTGACACTTCGAAAATAAATTAAGATATTCGAATATCCCTCTGTTGTTGATTCGAGAAGGTGTTTGTCAAAATTGATTCCTGGTCTGTCAGAAATAACTCTGGTACAATAGCAGGTTAATTTGAAAATTTTTCATCTGTTAAATCTAAGTGAAAATTCACCAAATGGAACACGTGGTAGAAAATCAACCCTATTTGCCGTGGCGGGTATAGTTCAAAGTATACGTGGAAATTTTGATTACTGGTCGTCACACGGACGACCGTTGCTGATGCTGATTAAAGTGCACGGAAAATTATCCTTGCCGTTCCGCGTTCGAAGGCAGATTCTTTCTCTTGTCTCTCGTCGGTCGAAGTGCGTGGAAGTTTCCTTCTCTACTTGTCGTTCGGACGACCATTGCTGACACGAGTTGGAACGCGTGCCGGTTATTCAACTTTAAATCGTCGTGAACGCTGCAGCTTCGGAAGGCAATAGCGCCACACAGACCGGTGAAGCAAAGATGGCTTCGCTTCGCACAAAGCAAACCGGAACACCGATTCACGACGATCAAAAGGCTGATAAAGTTTAATAAGGTGACAGAGGCAGAACTAATCTCGGCACGGATCAGCACCACACGAACTGCACGTACGGCATTTGCATCGTAGTTCGCGTCAATCGCATTGAGGAAGTAGCTCACGGAGAAATTCAACCGTGGTAGCATTTCATCATCGAAGTAACTGGAAAGGTGGGCGCTGATCAATACCACGACAGCAGTATCCAGAATCATCCTAACGGTGTTCGATTTCGGCGCATTGCTACGTTGGGAGACAAGGGAGTTGCTTCTGATGAAACTGCCCTCACTTTGAACATAACCAAAATAAGCCCCAGGGCTTTTGTTGCGAGTGCTATTTCACAGATCGGATCTCCTCACTGCGACACAGGGCAGTTCCCAACAAACCATTTGAGCTGATTATAAGCTCAACACAGCAAAAAAATTTTGATATCACGTCAAAGTGGATGCACTACAATCATGTCGAAAATATGGTGTAATATTACTTGCTAAAAAGGACAAAATTATTATTAATAAAATGCAGGAGCTGACATTACGCTGCTTTTACTGCATTTGTTTATTTATGTGGTCATAAAAATTACATGAAATTTTCGACATGATTGTAGTGCATCCACTTTGATGTGATATCAAAATTATTTTTTTGCTGTGTAGTCATGTTTTAGCTGAAGAAGCAATTTTTTCACTGGACAAGCTCTTATTCAGCTTTAAATGTTTATTGGAATGCCAGAACGGTAGGCACGTCGAGCAACGTGTTGGCCGTCTCAGACAACCAGAAGTCGTATAACAATGTACAGACAGTATCGTAAATAACTACAGTTTAAGTCAATATCGCATATAAGTATGACATACATCGCAATATGTTTAAGTAAAATCGTATAGAATGCAAATTTCCGACTTATATGCGAAGAATCATTTTTCCATCGTACTATATCACAAATTAAATCGGATTACATCGTAAGGCTTTTCAAATTGAATTTGTTATTACAGATTAAATCGTAAATAATGTCAAATCAACTCGTTTACAAAGAAATTAAAATTTGCACGCATATGGCCTCCACTTTTGTAGGTATAGGCCCTTTTTTTGCATTCTATACGATTTGTTTGTTTGTATATATCTTTGTATATCACAGAATCAACTTTGAATATACGTGCATTCTGGTTGTCTGGGGTGGGAACATCGTGCGACTCCTAGTGACAGTGCGCATGGATTCGAAGCAGCAGTGCACGCCGATGACGAGAGGCAGTCTTGACCTGGCGCAGCTCATCATAATCGGCAGGAATCGGCTACGACGAGAACGAGACGGAGGTGTAGCCACTCGCGAGTCTTCTCGAGTCGAAAGATGCTCGATGCAGCCGATTTTCGAGCATGATGGACCACGGCGGATACGAAGCGTCCAGTTACCACTGTCTATCCAATGCGTGACTCGCAGCGTCGCCTACATCGAGGGGCAGTATAGGTTGCACCCGGCCGGTAATAGTGCCGAGGAGGTACTGTTTGTCCCGGAACTCCGAGACAATTTGAAGTCTGTTAAGAAGTTAACGAAGGCTGGAGTTGAAATAAGTTTCAACAAGCAACTGGCAACACTACGGAACGGTGGCGAAACAATTGCTAATGCGTATCCCCGAGGAAACCTATACGAGCTGGAATTCGATGTTAGACAGTGTGAGGTCAACATGTGCTACACCAAGGAGATTAACCTGTGGCATTTCAGTGAAAGTGGCATGGGAGCGATGATACAAGAGGATCTTGCGCTCGGTGTGAATTTCAAGCCAGAAAAGTTGGACTTCTGTAATGCGGTGGACCAAGGCCGTGAATACTGCTCGGTCGAGCAGAAGAAATTTTAGAAGGGCAAGCAATTCAGATAGAATCTACAGTCGTGTATTTTCCGCAACAAAAAGGGGTAGCGGAGAGATACAACAGGACGTTGGTTGAGAAAATACGGACCATGCTAATCGACTCGAGTATACCTAAAGCAATGTGGGGAGAAGCAATGCTGACTGGTGTATTTCTGCTTAACCGAAGCCCGACTGCTGCCTTACCAAGAAGTTCAACATCTGCGGAATGCTGGATGAAAAGTAGAGAGCTGATAATAATAGGTTACACCACTAACGGATACCGGCTGTGGAAAAAGGACCTACGTAAAATTGTGATTGACCGTGAAGTTAAGTTCAATGAAGCCAGCTTCCCTTATGCAAATAATTTCATGATTCAAAAGAAGGATGAACTGAAAGTTCCGGTAACGTTCGAGCAAGAGGGGGATAACAGCAAGTGCAATGGAAGCAGTAATGAAAGTGATGTGAAGAAGAATCTTCGAACCTACCCACTGCGCTCCCTTTACAACAAGAACGGGACGTGAACTCCGGTGAGACGTCCACGAGGCACAGCGAATGGGAGCGCTGATTCTAGGGTACGTTTATTGACTATCTTACCGGTTACGGAGCGAATGCTGTTGGTTCTTCTTCCCTCTCAGATGTTCCTGGAAACTATAGTCAAATCGAAAGTCGTGATGATCGGGAGCTCTGGTATAAGGCGGTGCAAGACGAGCTGGAGTCTATGGCCAAAAATGAAGTTTGTAAGCTGACGACCTGTCCCAACGATGCCAGGCCACTGAAAACGAAGAGGGTATTCTGTTTGAAGGAGGATTAAAATGCAGCCCGGCTGGTGATGAAAGCACCGAAAAACCGACATGAAACTTAAACTTAACTCTTGATCGAGAATCCATAACGGCGGATTCAAATGTGCAGCGATCCCATCTGTCAAAACCATTTTGTTATCTAGATAAAAATAATTCGCACGGAATAGATTAGACACGAACCAACTCATAGATTTTGTGTGTGTGTGTGTTCTTGGATAGGATACACATTTTTCGCGAACACGGCGGCAGATGTCAGTTTTGTGCTTTGATCAGAAATTTGATGGTACCTTGTATGGT